TGAAAAGAAATGAGTAAAAATAATAGAATAGGTAAAGGAAAAAGAAAGTCAAAAGGAAAGATGATAGTTAAAATAAATTATATATAAGAAAAGAAAAAGAAAAAAAATAATAAGAAGAGGTTTATTATAGTAATTGTGAGGCAGAATGTGATTTAGAAGATTTAAAAGATTCATTTCAGGTTGAATGTAATTAAAAGTGACAGGAAGGAGGTAGAATAGAGATTAAAAATTCTTAAAAATAAAATATAAATAATTAAATTTAGGTTGAAATAGTATATCTAAATAAATGTATATATAAATAAATTTTTTACCTTAACTTTAAGCTAAACTTTTTTGTCTTCATTTTTCTATATAAGATACTAAATAATATAAACAGTATTAAATTTTAATAACTTTAATTTCAATTGAAAAAGTTTTACTATATTAATCTGATTTATTTCAGAATGTATCTCAAATTTTTCACTTAAAATTTTCTTATATAAGTCTAACTTTCACCTTGCTTTTCTTCAGCATACTTTTTGAATAATTAAAATATCAAAAATATATTTTTGCAAATACAATTAATATTAACTCATTATTCTTTCTTTTATTAATATTTTATTTACTTTGCAATCTTTCATCATTCCCTTAAACTTATCTTTATACTAAGTACTAGTAAAAATTGTCCTCATATCTTCAAGCTGCATTGCAATTTTATTTCAAAAAGATACTTTTGATCTGCTAAATCTTCTTCAATAATTTATATTTCTGACTCTCCTTTAATCAATTAAATATTACATTTCAGCTTCTGATGATTCAATAATATTTAGTATTTTAATAAAATTTAAAGATAAAGTTTAATAAGTAAAGAAACAAAATCATAATAAATTATTTCTTATATAAACTGTATTATAATATGATAGCATAAATGAAGTTTCTAATTTTTATAAATAATTACTTAATTTTATGCAAAATTAATAATTCTTTTAATTTTAATAAAATGATATAATTTTACATAATTTTCACAATTTTAAATTATGTATAAATTAGTGTTTCAGGTGAAACTAGTTTTGCAAAATTGATTTGCAAAATCTTTCTATATTTAAGATTTTAGAGATTTTGGATAATTTCAGATTATAGAAAAATTCTCTAGGCAAAACATTTTAGATGTTAAAAAGTAGTTTCACCTAAAATACTAGTATAAATTTTCTATTTTCAAATCTTATATGAAATTTTAATTTTAACAGTTTTAAATTTGAATTATAAATATTAATCAATGAATAATCACTATCAGTTTAACATTAATTCAATATTGATTAACCTAAAGTTAATCAGTAGTTCAACACAAATTAATTTATATAGAAATTTGTTGAATAATTTATAGCTTTTCTTATAATTTCATAATTCTTATTTAAAATTACAGTTGCTTTACTTTTAACAAATAATTGATAAATTATTAAATTAACCAATAAAATTATACATACTTATAAATATCAATTTTTTAAAGAATTTTAATATTTTAATGCAATAATATACAAATTTTAGTTAGTCAAAAAAACCTTTTCACTTTATTATATTATTATAAAAATATGTATACATAAGACTAAAATAATACAAAAAGTAAGAAATTATTACTTTTACAAAGTATTTTTATCTAAATCATTATCTAGTAAATATATTAAGCTAGTTTTTTAATATCATAATCATTTTCATTTTACTTTTATTATTATCACTAATATTATTTAAATTTTTACTATTAGTATCACTATCATCAAAATTTCATCATGTTTATCCAAACCTTTTACCATATCTTTTAAATTAAAAAAATTTTTAATAATTAAAACCTGAACTTTATGATTTTAAATTTCTGAAATAGATATATATTTTGATTTATTTTATCATTTTCATCATCCTTTTCTTTAAATTATAAGAATATTGAATTATTAAATATTTTATATATTTCTTTATTTATATATTATTAACTAATATAAGTAAGCTCTTTTTTAATATTAAATATATAAAATAAATACATTTTTGCCATAGATTAATTTTTGAAAGTTCTAAACATTGCTTTCTTTTGCTATATAACTAATCATGTGAAAATATTTTCTCACATTTTGTACTATATGAAGTAATAGAAAATATCATTATAGCTAATTCTTGAAGTTAGTCATATTTGTTCTTAATTAAATATTACTAATTCTTAATGTTTTAAGATTATTATTAAAATTTTAATCTATAAACTACATTTCAATTTATAATTACGAATTTGTGTTAAAATAAATATATGACTTCTTATTACTACTATTATTCTGTTAAATTTGACCTGTTATAGTAGTTATAATTTTTCAATACTCTCTTCTTAACCTATATCCTATTAATAAGAAATTTGTAATTAATTAATTAATAATTTTTAGTAATTAAATAAAATACAATAAAAATTTACTAATCATGATAATTAGGATATAAAAAATATGCTAATATATACATATTTGAATCAAACTTATTATAATATTTATTAAATGTATTAATATAATATTGATGAAATCCAATTATTTTGTGAGATAATAATTTTTTAATAGAATTTGCAAGTAAAATCAACTGAATAAAACAATCAGCAAAATCTGTACTTATACTTTCAAGTAAGATAATTAGTTTTAATTGACTTTAAAATTCTGATTAAGTTATTAATATTTGCAAAAAATTCTGAACTTCTAATATACCATTTAACTGCTTTATTTATAATTTCATTAGAATTATTTATCAATATCTTTAATATATTATTAATTTAATAATTATTTTAAATTTAAGTAATGATAATTTAAATTAAATATAATCTCACATATTCTAATGAAATTTGTAAATGTGAAATTGAATTTGCAGCTTTATATATAGAAGTATATCTAGTTTTAGAGTATTCTTTAAGTTTTCTATCTTTAATTTATAATGTAGTAGTAGTGTTAGCTAATAAATTTCTTACTATATAACTTATATGAAATCATTTAAAAAATAATGCAATCTGATTACAATCTTTAATTGTTTGTATAGCCATATTGTACCCTAAAAATTATTAAATAAAAATACAATTTTTTAAAAAATTTACAAATTATTTGTAATTTAAAGTATACTCACCCATTATATATTTTAAATATTAAATTAATAAATAAGCAATTCATCAAATATTTAGAAATTAACTTGTAACTATTTCTCGTATTTTAATACAATTTGCAGCATTATCTATAACTAATACAGTTATTATTTTAGGACTAATTTTTTTAATTATTCTAATAATTTCATTTGTTAGAAACTTTTTTGTATAATGATTACTTGAATAATCTTAAGATAATAAAGATATTATTCTTGATTAGATGTTAATATTATATAATTATAAATAGAAATACCACTTGAATTAGTATACCTATCAAGCATTTTAAGAATTAAAATTAAAATATTCGATTTATAATAAAATCTTATAATATATTTAAATGAACTAATATATATAATCTTGAATAATTTTATCAACCTTTTTATTAACTTTTACTATTTATTAATTTAAAAGTCTCTTAATAAACAATTCACATGAAGGTGAAACATATTTTGATTTTATTTTATAAAGAAATTCAATAAAAATAAGTTCTCAATAACTAAAATAAGCTATTATTATATTTAAGAATTACAAAAGTATGACGTGTACTATAAGTTTTCCAATAATCAATTTTTTTATCCAAAAAATAGAGTTTAAAACTTTATTATATGATGTTCTAATATGAGTAATCAAGCTTTATTTTTTAGGTATATAAAAGTATTCTTTAAGAAATTGATGAAACTTTTCTCTTTGATTAGTTATGTGATTCTTCAAATGTGATATTTTTAATTCAATATTAGAATTTTCTTTTCATCAATATACTTTGTCTTAACAAAAATTATAATCATTTAAAAGATGAATAATTAATTTATCAATTTGCACCTTTTCTAATTCTGCATCTAATATTATAATCTTATTCTTATTAAGTTTTTATTCACTTTCTATATAAACACATGAATTATAATAGAACATAATTGTATTTTCATAATCTTTCCAATAGAACTTTTGCTATTATTTTGAATTAATAAAAAGGAATTTGTTTAATTCAAATTTAATTTATTGTATAAATGTTTTTAATTATAATTTATTTAACTTTTTTTAAAAATAAGCTTGAAATTATTTATTTTAAATAATAAAGTTTTTATAGTAATAATTATTAAAAGTTATTTCTAATATTAAAATAACAAATAAAATCGTTAAAAGAATTACAATTAAATCAATATTCTTAATTTAGCAGTTATACTAATGAAAAGCTAATTGTAAAAAAAATATGTATAAACTTATAATGATGATAAAATAATTAGATTTAATAGTCTTAAAAATTATTCCTAAATCTTAAAAAGATTACCAATCTTTTTTCTAATATTTTTGCCAATATGCATCAAATTGGTATATATTTTGCTTAAGCATAAAAATATTAATTAAAGTTTTGTTTGAATTTAAATCTCTATTAACTCTAATATTCAAAAGTACATCAGCAACTTCTAATACAAGTACAATTTTCTCAATAATTTGTAATAAGATTATATATTCTATTTATCTTTGATGTCTTTTCAAAATTACCATAATAAACTTCATATTCTTAATTATTTCTTTTTATTTTATGTTATTTTAAGTGTAACAATAGATTTGTAATTATATTCTATATGTAAAAAAAATTTTAGAAAATAATAATTAACTAATTCTTATTTATTAGATTTTTTTTCTATACCTTCAAGATTTTCTTGATTTTTTTAAAATATTAATTCTCTACTAGTTTGATTAGCATTTCAACAATGTGATCAGAAATTGTCAAAGCTGATAGAAAGTACTCTTTCTTTCTTTGTTTTAATATGTTCAATAACTTTAACCAAATAATTTGTGCACTTTTTTTAGCTTCAATATTTATTTTTTCTAAATACTCATTTTGTTTATTATGATAGTATTCTTTTGATAATTATGTTGTAATTTCTATTATAGATAATATATTCTGAAGTTGCTGTCTATTAACATTACTAACAAGTCCAGCACCTGTTACAAGAGAGAAGAACTATGCATTAAGTAATTCATTACTATATTCTAGGATTTCTTGATATTTTTTACATTTGATTTTAATTTGAAGATTATAACTGATTTGTAAACATCCAATTTTTTCTTAGATAAATCATGGTTATAATATGTTAAATAAGATTGAGTATATATACTTATAAGATATTATTCAGTATTAATAAATATAGTGAATCTAATATTTGTTTCTTCTATATTTCTTATCCAATTATTTAAGAATTACTAATCTTTTTTTTTATGTAGTTTATATTTCAAATTTTTAATATATTTATTATTAACTTTTGTATACTTGATTTGTTTATGTAATTTATCATCTGATTTTTTCAAAGCTTCATATTCAACTGCAAGTGATAAAATCATTTTAGAAGATAACTGTAATCCCAGTTCTTTTATTTTAATTCCTTGGTAAATTATTGAAGTTTTTGATGTAATTTCTACTTTTTAAGTAATTTTTTCCTTTTTTTTTGTATATAAGTAGTTAATTTTACAATTTTTTCTTGAGATTTAGTTTTTATAGTAATCAACACTGAAATATTTGGATAAATTGAATTTATTTGTGCTTGTAAATCGTGAATAAATTTAGGATCATACAATCTTAAAATATCTAAAATAGAAACTTTTACTAATATTTTATTTATTTTTTATACATGCAAAAAAATTATTATTTATTTTATAATGTATAATTGCAATATCTACATATCTTCAAAAATTTTTCAATTATATATAAGATTTTTATTAAATTTTTAAACATTGTTATGATGGTTTCGTAACTTTAGATAAAATCTCAAAAGGATAAATAAAGCTAAAACAATTACTCAAAAAATCACAAGTAAGGATTTATAATAATGTCAAAGAATTATTCTCAATATAAAACACGTGAGATAAACATAAAATAAACACAAAGATAATATAAAAATATTTAGAGATTATACTTCAAAGACTCTGAGTTAATATAGCGAATTAATACAATATCATATAATAAGATTATTAATAATAATTAAAGGGATTGCATAAATGCAAAGGAGCACAGATAATTTACAATAGTTTCAAAAGGTTTGCGAAAGATAAGTTTTATACTTAGTTAATTATACTCCTTTATTAATATAATATAAGTTCAGTACCTAAAAGATTAACATCTCATCAGTGCTGAGACTTAAAGAAAATATAGAGATATTTATATATGTTAAATAAATAATAAAATAAATTAAACTAAATACATCGAAGAAAATAAAGTTGCCATTTTACTAAGCAATAAAGTTGCCTTATCAATAAAATTGCCAGATCTGCAGGCAAATAAATGGACATCTATGATTTATGTGATTATTAAAAGTAATAAAATTGATATCTAAAGATTTGCATAATTGATCGATAGTAATAAAATGGACTAAATAATCTTTATAAAAGATCTACATGACAATAAAATTGACTTCATATTCTACTAATTAAATCTATCTAAAATTTTACCCGTTACATTTCCCTCTTCTTTGATTTGAGTTCTGTTGAAGAATTTTCTTTCTTCTTTTAATTTTCTTGAATAAAGCGTAGGTATAATTCCTAGTTCTTAAGTATATTCCCTTTGTGTTTTTCTTTTTTGCAGAGTTTTTCAGGAATTTCAATTTTCACAGATTCTTCTTTCTAGTAGATTTCGTTTATTAGGTTTATCAATTAATCTAACTTAGTCTTCTCCTAGAGGTCGATAATTATCAAAAGAAGTTTGATATTATTTTCTTTTAACACATTATTAGCTTTTTCAACGTTTTTGATATCTTGTTGATATTTTTTTACAAGTGACTCATTTGTTGAAAAATTTTAAACATTTTAAAGAAAATTGAAGTTCAAGGTCTAATCAGCATTATTTTATATTTTCTAGTTTGTTTACTTAAACATAGATCACAAAGTTCTAATTTTGCCGATTGTGATGAATTTTTAGTAAACTTGCATTGATTAGTGTCCTAAAAATTTATCTTTCAGTAGATCTCAATTTGTATGCTCTATTAAGTAATACATCATGAATATAGAATGGTCCTTTCCATTTTTCTTCTAATTTTCCAGTCCAAGTTTTCTCTTTAGCTACTTCGTATAAAAGAACTTTATTTCTAATTTTAAATTCAGTTAGTCGTTTAATTTTTGAGTCATGTCGCTTCTTTTGCTTTTCTTATGTCTTTATCACATTTTCTATTGCTTGTTGCCTATTTTTTTTAAGCTTTCCAAATTTATTTCCAAAATTTTATTTTTAAGAGTAGTAATTGGTAATCTTACTTTCCTTCCATAAGTCAAATAGAATAATGTGAATTTCATAGTAGAATTTTTCGCAATTTGATAAGTAAAAGAATAGAGTTTATAGCATTATTTTATTTCTATAAATTCTTTGTTACTTTCGCTATAGATTCACATAAAGTCTTGTTAAATAGCTTAACTAATCCATTAGTTTAAGGATGGTACAGCGTTAATAATAAGTGTTTAACTTTGAACTTATTTATTAAACCTTCTACTACTTGATTCTTAAAATGTGTTCCTTGGTCAGAAAGTATATAATTTGGACATCTATATTGGCAAATTATGTTTTCATAAATAAATTCTACAACTGTTTTTGCGTTATTTGTTAGGGTTATACTTATTTTAGACTATTTGGTTAGATAATTAGTAGCTATGATTATATAACAGTTTCTTTATTAGTCAATAGTAATAGTCCTACAAAATCTATTCCTATTTTCTCAAAAGACTTTTCTACTAGTATTAGATATAAGAGAGTGTTATTTTTCGTGAGCTTCCTCTTCTTTGACAAGAGTTACAAATTTTAATATAATTTTTAATGTCTTTAAACATTTGCGATTAATAATAATTTCTCTAATCTTTTTAAAGATCTTTTCTATTTCTAAGTGTTCACTGGTAGGATGATTATATGTTGCAAAGAATATCATTTCTATTTCATTTGTTTTCAATATTTTAAGATAGCTTCTAGGATTTCTTTTATTTCTTTTGTAAAGTTGATTTCCTAAAATAATAAAATGTTTTGATTGTCTAATAATTTGTTCAGCTAATTTCTTGTTACTTGGTAAGTTTGATGTGATTAAATAATGTTTAAGTTGATTATATCAATTTACTTCCATTTTTAAAACTTAATCTGTCAATCACAATTAACATTTTCACTTTTACTCTGTACTTTGTTGATGATAGAATAAAATTATTAGAGTATAGTGACTAATTATGTATAAGCATTTTCTTGTTGAACAAGTTAAGGTTCAGTCCACCATAAGTCATTAATTAAATAATTAGAATTCATGTCAATGAATTTTGCCACATTCAAATCCAATAATACAATCATGAAAGATAATTCTATAAGGTAAATTATATTTGGATACCTTGCAGTATATGTGAATGTAATGATTTTTAATATCACAAAAGTCAGTACATTTAGAGCCTCTTTTGGTAATCAGTTAATTTGCAATTACTTGTTTGACTTTAATATTTTTCTTATAAATTTCAATCATTTCATTTCTTGGGTATTGATATCTAACAGTAATTAATAAGTGATCTCTAAATTGATTCATTAATTCTTGCTTAAAGTATGATTCACTATCATTTTCTTTCATGCTATTTTCTGGTGAAGAGATATGCCATTTAATTTCCTTTTCTTCAGACTCGTCTAAGTTCTCTTCAGTTCATACAGAAATTATATAAGTTTCTATAATTTTGTTAGAATCTTTATTATTATCAGGATCAATTCTAGATAAAGTGTCAACATTTGTATTATTTTAGCCTGAACAATGTTGAACTTGAAATATATATTGTTGAAGATTTAATAACCATCTAACTCTTTTAATTCAATTTTTCACAGTTGAAGTTTATAACTATTTCAATACTGCATTATCAGTTACTAAGATAAAGGGTTTTAAGGAAGTATAGTGATAAAAGTATTCAACTGTCTAGTTGATTGCTAGACATTCTAGATCTTGAGTACTATAATTTTGTTAATGTACATTAAGGATTCTACTTGCATAAGCAATTACTTTTCTTTTCCTTGATCATCCTTTTGTGCGAGTACAACTCCTAATCCAATTCCTAAAACATTAGTGAAAAAAATAAAACATTTTATTAAAATCTGGATATCCTAATATTGGAGCTTGCGTCAGTTTTTTTTTAAAAGTTTCAAATGCATTTTGACATTCATTAGTACAGTCGTATTTAACTCCTTTCTTAGTTATATTATTCAAAAGTTTGAAAATTTTAGAGAAATCCTTAATAAATTTCCAGTAATATGATGCCAATCCAAAAAATCCTTTAATTTGCTTCACATTCTTTGATACAGGAAAGTCTTAAACTTTTTCTATCTTTTAAAAGTCTGGTAAGATTCCATATTCATTAATTTTATGTTCTAAGAATCATAATTCTCTTTTGAACATTTTGTATTTCTCTTTGTTTAAGGCTAAATTCGCTTTTTTTAATTTATAAAAAAGCATTTGAAGATGTTCACAATGTTCTTCAAAACTATTTAAATAAACAATAATATCGTCAATAAAAACTGCTACAAATCAGTCAATGTATTCTTCTAATACTTATTTATCATTTTCTGAAAAATTGCTGAGGCATTGCACAAACTAAAAGGCATAACATTAAATTCATAAAGTTCTTCTTTAATCACGAATGCAGTTTTCTCTCTGTCTTTAGGATTCATTTCAATTTGCCAAAATCCACTAAATAGGTCAAATGTTAAAAATCATTTTGCTTTATTTAAGTTTTCTAAGATTTCATCAATTTTAGGTAAAAGATAGGTATCTTTTCTTGTGAGTTATTGAGTCCTCTATAATCAATATATAATTTTTACTATTTATTTGCCTTCTTTACAAGAATTGCAGGTGATGCCTATGAACTGTCTAATGTTTGAATAATTTCTTCACATAGTATCTTTTTAATTTCTATATTGATAAATTCCTGCTCTTCTTTTGTCATTCAATAATAATTTCTTCTAACTGAATCAGCATTTCTTGTATTAATTTTATATTGAGCTACATTAGTTCTTCCAACTTTGGTTGATTATCTAGTTTTAGAAATATTGGTGACAAATCTGTCTTCATTTTCTTCCATTAGTATGTCAATTTCCTTTTGTTGCTTTAAAGTCATAACTTCCTCTTTCACAATTTGTGCTTATATAGTTTTTGCAAGACTATTAGGCAAGTTATTCCATACAATTTGATCTAATATTTTATTGATAAATATCATATAGGTTGAGAGTAGTTTTTCCTTGCTTAGCTATTTCTTCATATTTTAGAAAGCTAATACGAATCTAAGATCCATTTTTATCTTTCTCAGTTTATTATAACTTAGTTCTTTTAGAAACCTTTATTGTGTATATATTGCAA